GAGGTAACGCTACAATGGCTTTGGTTTCCGTTCGTATTTCAGGTTCGTATTTTTAGAAGTTGCGAAAGATGGAGAGCGAAGATCTGCTAATTCAGATTTCAGCATATTCAGACAACATGTACGACGTCGGACAGCTGTTGGAGGATTCAGAGCAAAAAAGCGCCTACCAGCAGCGTTTGGAAGAAGTCGACCTCGAACTGTCACGAGTACAACGGGTTCCCGTTTAAATGCAAGTGTTTTCTTTACGGTTGTTGTTGCAGGCAAACGAGAAGTTACATGAACTCGAAACTGACTACTCGAATCGTTTGTGTGAGTTACTTTGCATACTGTAGTCTTCCCTATTGTTTGTTTGTGATCTGACGTTTGTTCTACTCTTAAAGCTCACCTTGACCGGCGTCTGGCGGAATTGGTGGACGAGCGAGATCGGTTGCTGGTGGGTCTTTGGAATGTGACTAATTAATACAGTGGAAAATTTAGTCTTTACATCAGAAGACCGACAATGACCTGAACACATTGCGACGTGTATTCACTCAGAAAGAGCAGGAGGCGCGTAATCAGCAATCGAAACTTGAATCTCGAATTCAAGAGCTGGAAAATCTTCAAAAGTCGTTTAAATGTGAGGAGCACAAACATCATCTCTGACCTTGCGTCATTTTCATCGCCAATACTTGCATTTAGCGATGGCATCGGTTAATGCGACCAGTGAACCACCTCCCGCCCCTAATCTTAACATCAACAGTGCTCCCGCAGCTCCTGTTCCGGCGGCGGCGACGGTAGTCGTGCCGCCACCAATCATACCTCCGCCGCCGCCACCGGCAATACCATTTCGTAAGTTTGTTTAGAAGTCGCTTACGCTAGTTGCTGAAACATTTTACTTCAAATTAACACGTTTGCAGCTCCTGTTCTGTCGTTCGCACCGCCGTTGCCCCCCGCTATACCGGTATTCAACTGTGCTCCACAAACCTCGACCTTTTCTTCAGATTCAGGTATCAGTCGTACAATTCTCAACTATCATCCTGTACAACTGTCTTGTGTTTTTCAGCAATGACCATAAAGAAAAGAATCAATACCAAATACAAGCTTCCATACCTGAATTGGACGGCATTGAAGCCTAACCAGGTAAAGGGAACCGTTTTCTCTGAGTTGGACGACGATAGAGTTGCTCAGGTACTGCTTCTTGTACATCCTTTCAAGTAATTATCTGTAACCGGTTTAAGCAAATCAATTTCGACGACTTCGAGGAACTCTTCAAGCTTGATCCAAAACCAATCAGCGGTACTCCTAATGCAAATGCCACACTTGTACGATCAGGTCAAAGTCCTTCGGTTTCCTCCAACAAGAAAGAAACCATCTTAGACCATAAAAGACTCAGGAATCTGGGTAATAAGTTATTGATGATTTAGTTTAACTTAATTATCTATTGTCAGTTAGCAAGATTAGGTGAAACAGTAACAAGTGTCACTGTTCAAAAATGAAAACTGACCGTTGTACTCCTGTTACTTTAGTTCACATAATGGTCGGTAGCTAATGACTTCTAGGACGCTCTAGGACGCTAGCTAATGACTTCTTACCAAGAATATCGCTAGCGTGCATGTTAAAAAGCTACGTGATTCCATTAGCCTTACCTACTACTAATACAGACTTTACAGTGCTCTACTTCGAGCACCCTGCTAGTTGGCACACCAGCTATTAAACGAACTAGGCGAGCAGCTGAAACTTGCGATAGCCCCTGTTCGATCAATAGTTGCCATATGTTTGGAACATGATCCCCTGCCAGCAGTTCCTTCAAACTTGCATTTTCCTAATACTTTCTCAAAATTTGCAAAGAATCGTATTTGCACTACTTTAGCGGTCAACGGATAAGAAGACAAATAGTGTATCATTTGAAGACTGGTGAAAATGGTTGCGGCTCTTATTTATGAGCTAAATGTTCAAGTTGCTCCATAAAGATTTCGTTGAAGACAGGAGACATAAAATCTATTATAAACACGCTCAGTTCTAGTGTTAAGAGTAACTGTTTTACTAAGTTTGATTTTATGATTATCAGTAGTGCTCGTAAACTATTCCTAAACATCATGGCCAACTGCATTATTTTCTTTTGACTTACGTTGTCTTAATTCTACGCAGAATTCGGTAATGTTTTCAGTGTAGGATGCTTTCCCTT